TGCAATATTTTTATATATTTATTGGTTTCCCTTCACAGAGTTCATTTGTGTTTGAATCGCAATTTTAAATGACTCGGGTTTTTTTAAATAGGTTGTTCACATTAGCCACTGAATCCACAATACCCTTCGTTCCCCTAATTGCAAGGAAAAACAATTTTCTCACTATTAGGCTATTTCAAGTTTTACGGATATCATGAAATTTGTTTTGGTTTTTTATGGCCTTTTAACAATTATATTCAAAAATTTTTATTGAGCTTGAGGACGTTTCTAATTAAAAAATGTTGTGGAAAAACAACAATAATTTACCCATAGGTAGAAGTCATAGTTACTATTTCGGAGATCACCACATCTCCTCATTAGAAATCTTAACCGCTGCTACTGGGATATGAACCATTAAAAATTGTTGAAATCTTAAAATACTTTTTACCATTATTATCTTAAACTACATAAATGATGGCAAATTCTTATGCATATTTCCCTCCAACAAGGGGAGGTCTAAACCCCCAAAACACCCTCTTGAGTCCGGGCCTAGTCTTGGGTATACTTTTCGTTTTACACATTGTAAACTTAAGTAAAAACATCATTTTGCAGTTTTCAACCTTATCCGCACATGTCAATTGCGCTCCTTTAGATTTGGATCTCTTGAGGAATCTTTAATCGATCATCTGTATTAATATCAATAGTAGGAATTCGCACAAAATTGCACAATTAAAAAAAAGTCGATTTAAAGTAAACCTTTGGTAAAGAAATCGCATTTATTGTGTATTTTTGGTAACACAAATTTACTCATTGGGATTTTTCTCATGTCGGGTTCGTGGTGGGAGAGCGAAGGATACAGGTGTCATCAAATACGTGCTTGGTGTGAGGATCAAAAACCGCAGATTACTGATGTTGTAATTAGGTGAGTAAAACAACGATGCCAAACTTTCTGAAATAGGCGTAAAGAAAGGTGCACGTCTATAGCTGCTATGGGCACTCGCGTACGAAACATCGTAAGAGATATATCGCTTGTGTAGACCGGTCAAGTCGATAGGTCGCGACTTCTAAATGACATTCAAAAAACTTATAAAAATAGGCAATAATATTTCTCAAAAAAACTAATAAAATTAGGGGGCAGGGTCTTGAAATTTCAAAAAAAAATATATTTCATGCAAAAAGTGGAAACTGCCGGAAAAAAGGTGCGAAGATATAAAAAATCAAATTATATTAGTCAATATTTCAACTAAAGCGCCATCGAGCGGGACTATTTTTTGTAAATACATTTCTTGCTATGTATCATGCACGTCATAAATTTTAACGAAATCGGTCCACAAATACGGGCTTGCAAAATATTTCAACCCCGGCGCCACCTAACGAGTAAATTTTTTGCAAAAATATTCCTGCATATGTGACCAATACACATTGAAGAAATAAACCAAATTCGACCATAACTAACATAGATGTATTACTTTTAATTTTTGACTATAAAGACCGTCCCCTGGAAATGCCCATATATAATATTGTACTTATGGAATCACGTACATCCTTTGAAACCGTAATTATACAGTCTATTAGAAGTAAATAACTAAAAGAAAAATAATTTTTAAAGCCGAAATTGTGGGCGTTATGAATTTCCTCCCTTTAAATCGACGAAAGTAGGTCTTTTGCCGTTTTTTGTTTCATTTAACAATTTCCATTGATAAAAAATTCCGTTGATTTTTGAATTTTGCGCCAACAATCATTGTGTGTAATTACATACCTGTCCATTTTTTCCTTCTATTAAAAGAATCATTAAAAACATATTTAGACAATCACAAGCTCCTCAGGATTGAAGTAAAATGAGTTTTCAGTGGAGCACGATACGTTCGCCTTTTATCGATATACATTTATACGTGCATTTATATAAAGTGTGCATTAAAGTGTGCGAAAATAAACGCAATAAAGTAGACTACACTTTTGGAAGGAAATTTATAATATAAAGATAACTAAGAAAAATAAAGCGGTCTCTAAAAGTTTTAATTGTTTTTCAAACAAAATACTTCAACAAAAATCGACCAAAATGGGACAAAATTTACCTTTTTACCAACCGAAATTTTTTCTACCAATTTTGGTAACATTTTACCAAAGTGGCAACCCTGATCAGATCCCTTACATGGGTCACTCATATTTCCTTAGTGTCGCGAACGCAGACATACCAGTATTAGTTTAACGTACCCTGCAGTGAAAAATTATCAATTGTTAAAACTAACCAACTTATAGTTAGCTTTTTGGCGAGATTTCGATTAATACCTCCCTTTTAATTAGCTATGACAAAACCAACTTAAAGTGAATTGTAAAGTCGTGCAGGAGTCATGCAGACGCAATCGGGAGTTGGTTTTCTTTACAAGTTTCTATTAAATATTCTCATACAAAAATTACTTTCAATACACTTTTTTTCTGAACTTCGCAGATTCTTTTTCGTATTCAGGACAAATAAAAGGAAGATCGAAATTTTATACTATCATTTTGAAGTTATGTCTGACGGTGTTCGAATATGGGGCCACCCAGAGCAGAATATGTAAACAAATATGAAATGTAATAAAATAAAGTAAATAAATAAGTAAATAAAAAAGTAAAAAAACAAAAAAATATTTTGTTTTTCTTATTGATATTTTATGTCCAAAAGCAGTTAGTTACAAGTTAGTTGACATGTAATGCAGAGGTATCCAGGTCTGACTTTTTTGCGGCCATCGCCCCACAAAAGTAGTTAGCTTTTTTCGAACAAAATACACAGTTAATAGTTAGCACTAGTGTTCGCGTAAACAGACTAAAGTTAGGTATAAGCTAACGTCACTCCCTGCAGGGTAGTCATGCAACTGTAATCGCATACTTAGAACTACCACTAGCAGGTTAATCTTTACCGAGATCTTGGTTATCCTATGCCCTGAAAACCGATAGATCAGAACAACTTTTTTTATCATTATTAGTTAGATTAGTTTAGGTTAAAGAGGTTGCCTCAAACAGGAATACTCTTGGTCATTTGTGATATTTACCACTATGAACGGTAACTCCTAAGCAGCGTTGCCAGGTTGACGTTTTTAACGTCATTTGGATGTTTTTTGTATCCTGTTGACGTTTGGACGTTTTTTGTGTAAAAAATTACGTTTTTTAACTTCCCAGTAATTTTTCTTTGTTACTAAATCTTGTAAGTAGAACTGATTTTGAATTATTTTCTTAATAAATCTTTACAAGCTTTGTTTTTTGTAGCAGACGCTTCAAATATATTTCTTCTTTCGACACAGATGACTTAACCCGTATTTAAGCGCATAAAAAAAATGACACAATTAGTCGCATGGGGCCCCTTATTGAAAATGTAATGAACGTAAAAAGGCTGAAATATTGCTATGTTCCTTCTTAACAGAACGTAATTTAGCTTTTTCGACAACAAATCACTTAACCAAATGTTTCTTTAGCACCTTAAAACTTGCACATTATTGCCCTGGAATTTAATGGGCTATCAACCTGCATACTAAAAAAATTCTAAAAAATCTGAATAAAAGGTTGGAAATCTAGCTGATATTTTGCCAATTTTTTATAATTTTTGCACAAAGTCTGAAATGTGGATTTATATTTTGTTTGTTATATAATGAGCTAGGCTTTTATGGAAAAATAATAAACATTAAATAAACAAAAAAGAAACAGCCGAAATCGATGACTTAATGAACTGATCACAAGTGTATGTATAAAATGATTTTTATATTAACGATCTCAAACCAGTTTAGAATGAATTTTAAATGTGAGCAAATGACATTTTAATATACCCTACGTACATATGTACATTTGTATACAATGAAAGTTTAATAAGAACAACTCTTTGTGCATACATTTGAAAAAGACGGATTTGGGTAGAAAATGACGTTTTTTCAGACCAAGAGGGACGTTTTCTCATGCCGAAGACCTGGCAACACTGCTCCTAAGCTATAGCGAGAAAGACTGTATGCCAAGAACGAAGTTTCGCAGGCGGCAGAAGGTGGACCGGAGAGCTTCTAGACTGTAGTCTTGCTAAAGCTGGGCAGTTTGAGCGGAAGGTTAGGTTAAGATATGCTGGCGGACCATAAGACGTCTCACATAGACAAATATAATGCCCATAGCGTTGCCAGATACGTTTACGACCCATAAATCAGTGATTTCACGCAATCTCCCGTTCCTAATTCGGAGGTTTCGCCTGCGGAGATGCATAGAAAATGGGCATCAAAGGGAAGCCTAACCTAGTGCCCACTCCAATACTCATTGACCAGCCTTCCGCCTCATTCCTCAGGTATGACAGGAGAGTAGATCTCCTCGGAATACGGTTCTATGCGGAAATAATCAATAAGACTGCTACAATAAAAAAACAGGATTTAGTTATTCATACCCATAATTTCGACAATTGGTTCGTATAATGTTAGCTTACCTTAAATAAAATCACATTTTTAATTTTTTACTTTTTCTTTGATTTTATTCTTCAACTTAAAGTTATATTATTACACATATATATGTATGTATGTATGTATGTACCATACATATGATAAATTGTTACTAAAATTTAACTACCACAGATAGGTTGCAATTACATTAAATTTCTATACATTTATAATTACTAGAATATAAAATAAAATCTGTATATGTAAATATTTATGCACATACATATGTATACTTATGCGGGAACCTCTAAACTACTACTTTTGGTTTTTACAATTTATCGAGAACATTTTTTATTTTAGTAATTGTTGTTTATGTGAGGAGGGAAATGCAAAATAAAATTTAGTTTTAGCAACAGCAATAACCAATGTTTTTGACAATATTTTCCATTTTTATATATACATATGAATGCAGATACTATGTACAGTGTTGTGAAAACAAAAGCAATAAATTTAGTAAAATTCATGTTATTGCTGTGTTTCTTTCAATAAACAGGTTTACAAAAATTTGATTATTAATTCTTAAATACCCAGAAGTCCGTTTAAACAAATGTGTTTCAATTGCCACTTATTCGCGAAAACCTCTAGAACAAAAACTGGTCCATCCTCGGTTGGCTCAAAAGCAACAAAGCAATAGCTTATAGAATATCCTTTATTCTTAATAACCTCCGTGAATCTTAAGAGGTATTGAGGATAGTGAATTCTCTTTTGTATATTGTAGATAGTTTTCCCACTCACTTATTAAAGCTTGGAAGAGTTATCCTTATTGCAAGGGCGTTGGCCTGAAACTCTCCTCTTTGAGATACCGAACAGGCTCACAGTGAGGTTGTAGTTCGGCGACTTTGTAGGATACTCGAGAATTTGAACGCTACTATCCTGAGATAGTTTTTAATAAGCTTTGGTATGCTTTTGTATCAATAAAATGCTTAAACTATCAATGAAGCGTCATATTCTAATCAACATCGGGGAGAAATTTCGTCTCTAAAATGTTTTTAGATAAGAATTGGTCCATTATTCCTTTAAGATTTTGAGAAGGGAGGATAGAAAAACAGCCTTATACCATAATTCTGCCGTTTCCCTGCTTAACACTCATCCTGCGATCGCTGGACTAAGACGTTAACCTCTACTTCGGCGGGTAGTTTACATCCCTTCAGAATTAATCATATAGAATTTTACATCAGCTTCAAGAAAAGTACGTTCCACTTCTCCACGATCCAATTAGGCGCACAAGATCGAAATTCAGTCTAAAAATGATTTGTCAACCACTTTTATTGGACGGGATGTGAACGGTTGGACGCAGAAGAGGTGAACGTCTTGGTGCACCTACCTGTAGGATGTGTGTTAAGCAGGCAAACGGCGGACACATGGTATAAAACTGTTTTTATGCAAAGATCGTCCTCCCTTTTCAAAAGATTTATGGTATAATGGACCGTTTTTTATCTAAACATATTTTAGAGACGAAAATTCTCCAAAATGTTGACTGGAATATGACGCTTCGGTGGGAATTTCAGCATTTTAACGATTTAAGACCTTCTACCAAAGCTTATTAAAAACTATCTTTTGGGTAGTAGAGTTCTGCTTCTCGAATATCCTACCAATTCGCCGGACCTAAACACTATTTCCAACCTTTTCGTTATCTCAAAGAGAAGCTTTAATAAGCAAGTGGGAAAACTATCTATAATATACAAAAGAGAATTCACTATCTTCAATACCGCTTAAGATTCACAGAGATTATTAAGAATAAAACGTGTGTAGTTTTTTAATTCAGAGGTTTTCGCGAAGAAGTGGCAATTGAAACACATTTATTTAAGATGACTTCTGGGTATTTATTGAAAGAAATATGGCAATAACATGAATTTATTAAATTCGTTGCTTTTGTTTTGTACACCACTGTACATAAATACATACGTATGCAATTTTAACTCGTGCTCAGATGCAAGGACATGCAATATGCAACACATATGTATATACATATGTATATAAGTGCATTTTATCGTCATTATCACAAATGGCCCTAAGTGGCATTTTCCGAATTTCGCTTTTTTCAATAGTCCTTAGTTCGCTTTTAGATACACGCTTACGATGAAGTTTAGACCGCCTCTTTGAAGATATGATATTTGCGGCTTTATATTGAAGTCAGCATTACATATTAAGACCTCAAAATTTATCATTTGCGATTTGGGGGTTACAAAGCTTAATAGAGTTTTAATAAAAAATATGAATTTTCAAGACAACAAATTTAATAGGCAAGGAGTAAAATAAGTAAAGGTTTGCATTTAGACTGAAATATTACTTCATTACTATATTGATGGTACTCGACTATCCACTCGTAATGAGTTAACTGACTTAGGTGTAGTCTTTGACTCGAAATTTTTATTTCATACAACATTGCTAAATCGTATTCAGTGCGTGCTTTTATTCGCCCATTTAGCTCTGATTTCAGGGATCCCTATAAGTTAAAGCTGTTGTTCACGTCGCTTGTACGTTCCAAGCTGGAATATGCTTGCTTTATTTGGAGACCTTATTATGAGTGCCACATTAATAGGCTCGAGCGGGTTCAAAAAACGTTTTTACGCTTTGCGCTCCGATCATTCATCAGAAGAACAATTCTCCTGCTCACCTTTGTCTTTGACATAATTAAGAGTGTGATTGATTCACCTTATTTACTTGAATGCATCTGCTTCCATATTGTTAACAGAACCCTTCGTAATACTGATATTTTTTACACTGAACGTGTCCGTACTCTCTATGCTTCTAACGCTCCAATTTTTAGAGCTTTGAACCACGATTGAGAGAAATAGAGATTGCGCCAATCGCGGTACCGCTAATCCGCTGTTTGTGATTTTGACAGAATGAGCTATGTGCGTGACGTCATCTTGGTGCAATTGTTGAATGTGAGCATACGAAAAAACCAAATAACAATTTTAATATTTGTGCGGTAATTAGTCTGTTCCTTTGAACTTCGGACTAAAACCTGTGGAACTGTCAAACTACAATTTTACGCTCTCAAATGAGAGTAAAAGGAGAACAGATGCAGAAGTGCATAGGAACGCAAAAAGCACTATTTCCTGTAAAAACGTCAGTCGGTTTGTTTATATGTCATTTGTACAACACTGATTTAGCTGAAATATCACTAAATAATTATTAAAATCTATACATATTCAAACATTTCGTTGTTTACTTCCATTTTTTTACAAATATAAGGTACATTGCTTTCACCGCTGTTAGTTTTTGCTTGCACATGCAAATCAGCTGATCGTTTGACACTTTTCATGAACTTACAGGAAAAGAAACTCCGGACTAAATCCTGTAACTTCTGACTAGGAACAGTTGCTCAGTTACTCTCTCAAATGTGTTCCCACTTACAGGTTTTATGTCAATAGGAACGACTTCCTGTAAGTTCTGACTAAATCCTGTAAACCGGACTGCTATTGGAACAGACTAAATATTTCTGCGTGGTTTTAAACAATTATTTAGACATTTTGCTGGCAATGGCATACATACAAAAGCAGTTTCTACAGTAAATAGATACATGAACTTCACCTCCTACTTATTTTTGTTAGTACCTGATTCTTTTAGTGCTGGTATGAGGTAATACACCAGTGAATAAGGTCGCCAGGCGCTAATTCAAGCGGCATCTTACCGCGCTGTTACGTACCTAATACAAAACAGTGCCCAAATTATTTTACATTTAAAAGTTCAGCTTAAATTGTATTTTACTGACATAGAATATTTGCTTCCAAAAAAGCCACACTCATGCATCCCCTCGGAAATGGTACAATAGTCATCAAATAAAAGCTGTGGAGTTAATGGTGGTTGGCTACCGTCCACAAATATAAATATGCACTCTGCATGTCTTTTTAAAATGGCAAGTCCTAAAATTCACTTTGCTGCACACCTTCCTTTTGGTCTATATGAAACTGCAAACACTGTTAATACATACATTTTTTCATGTGCTAAAAATCGTAGTTATCTAAAGGGCTACATGTCCAAAATTATTGCTACGTGTTCCTAATTAATCAACCTTTGTATATTTAGTGATTCCTGCAAAAATGGGTCATGTAACATTAAAATTAACACAATTTTCTGCATTGTTTACATATTTTTATATGAGTTTTGACATTTCTCTGTCGCGATTGCACCAAGATGACGTCACGCAAAAATTACGCTCAAAAATCCTCTCTCATTGGCGCAATCTTGTATTCTATCATTCTTGGCTTTGAACGAATTCAATGTTCTCTCAAATTCAAAATTCAAACCAATGTTAAATGAAGCTACCCTGCAGTAAAATTTAGAGACAAAACGCTAGATCCGAACTACATATTTCAGAACTATTTCTGAACTGGTGCAAAACGGCTGCAGAACGGGACAGTTGAAGCTTTTGGTGTGCTAGTTGCGCTCCGTTGAGAAGTAAATGCAAAAATTCTCATTTCTCGTACAATACTAAAATAGCTCAGCGGGAAGACCTCCGACTCTAACATCGTTGGTCGCGAGTTCAAATCGCGGAGGAGGCGCAGTTGTGATTTTCAGATTTAATAAATTTAAATTGTCTAGTGCCTATTAAAAATTGAAGGAAAATGATACAATTTAATATAAATAAAATAAAAGAATAAAAAATGCAATAAAATGCAATCTGTAAAAGAACAGAAACAATTAAAAAAATACAAAAAATCGAATAATCAAATTGTTTTCATAAAAAACTTATTGTTGCAGATCTATGGAGACAGTTCAGAAAAGAAAAAATATCCAGAAATCTAGTTTTAAAATTTTTTCTCATAAAAAACTTACTTGTCTCAGAACTGTCGAAAATGGAATCAGTTCAGAACTAGTTCGAAAGTTCTGCAGAGGTGGCAATTTCCACTTCGTAGGGCATCGCCATGTAAAAAGAGACAATTGAAAGCATTGCGTTGGGATAGATCGAGAACCAGTACCGCCTCTTAAGGAGCTAGTTCTGCGCTAGTTGCGAACTAGGGCGATTTACTGCAGGGTAGATTTAATGTATGACATATTTTATCTCTAAGTAGTCTGTAAGCAACTTTGTTGAGCTAGATTACTATTAAACGAATAAATAAATAAAAAATGTGATGTAATGGTCGTTTGTACATGTACATTTACTCTCTGTCTGTCGAACGCAAGTAAATACCCTAGAATCCTAATTTTCGGTGTAGTATTCACTCACCGGTGCTGTTATCTGAGGCCGTATTTTTTATTAAATTTTATGAGTCAGTGTCAATTGAAGCCTTACTAAAGCTGATGGCAGATAAAACTTTGTGGCTTTGCGTGACATTTATAACTTTGCCAGCAAAGCGCCAGACGCAAAGGGTATGCCACAATGAACGCCAAGAAAAGAATTTTGTGCTGCTTTATATATTAAGATTTAAAAATATCAGCAATGTAATTAAATTTTATGTTTCTGCATGAAAACTCGAATTTGGACGAAACAAAACAAATATTAAACCGGCTGATCGTCAACGCGCGCAAAAAAATGGGAGTTGGCCATCTTTTCGCTTCGCGCTGCAGCTGCAACGACCTACAAGGCACAAGGTTTCATTTTGGTCTACAATAGTTGTGTTTATTTGGAAAAGCCAGCAAGGAAAAAAATTCAGACAATAAAATATCTTAATCTTCAAAAGAGAAAAATATGAAAAGTTTTGCGCTAACAGTAATTTGGAGAAACTCGCTAGTTTCACTGCCAATTGGTGACCATGGTTGCATTTCGAACATACATATGTAATACATTGCTATCAGTGAAGTTTGCAGGAAATGCATGGGGACCGTAACAAGGGAGACCTTAGAACACATCCTATGCGTTGTCCTGCTGTATTAAAAATACGACCGAAATATCTCGGAGCTCCAGAGTTTAATAATATTAAAGGCGTGACAACACTTGCGCTTTAAGTACTGCTGAAACTCTCAAAAAGCGTTCACATCCTAAATGATGTATACTTCGAACATACTTAACTGAACCTCTACCTCCGTCTGGCATCACTTAGACCTATTGGTCTATGTGGGGATGTGGGGTGGTCAGCCAGAATACCTAACCTAATCTAATACATTTTTGTGGAATTTTTTTTTAAATTATCTCAAGTGGGAAGTAAAGTAGGACCTATGAGTATACCTACATATATTTCTTCTTATTCTGACTTTCATCAACATATGCTTCAATTTCTTGCCGGCAGTCACTGTCAGATTTCCTTCGAATACAATTTTTTTAGCCGAGTACCTTTCAAATCGGTGGAATTATCTAAATTTTTTAAGTAAACAAATATTTAACAAACTTCATTCATTAGAGGCATTCTGACGTAACCCACACTTTTTAACTCGTATTTGCTCAAACTTTAAGTAATTTTCTTCAACCATTAATCTGACAATTTTCAAAACGTAACGGATGGGATGATTATGGATTCGTTTCCCAAATTTAGACAAAACTATAAATATTTCGTTCATAGCGCCTTTCGTGTATGTATCTAAAAGCATAAACAGACAGCAACGTTGATCCGGATTAACGGCGCAATTGATCTGATTAAAATTGTGCCTTGACAGACGGCAGTAATGCTAGCCCCGAGGTCGTAGGTTCGAATCCCACGGCTAGTATAATATTCATTTAATTTTTTTATTCATTCAATTATAAATTTCACATATTTTTTTAAGTTGTTTTAGTTAGTTGTCATTGACTTTTTTAGTAAAATTAAACTATACAAATTTTAATTAACTAATAATAAAACAAAAAATGCGAAATAAAATAAAACAAACAAAAATAAAATAAAGTAGAATTATTTATATCAATCAAGTAAAATTTAAAAAAATTTACGTAACAATAAAAACAACCGATGATCGAATTTGGGACCTGCAGGCTTGTAGTACGCAGCCCTCACCACTCGGCTACCGCGGATGAGGTAGTTCGCTGCTTTGTTAGTGTATTTGTTTGCTCAGAGAGCGTAGAACACGAAGAAAATTCAAAACTAGCATTCACATCCACCTAGTCATCGGTAATGCAGTCACCGTATTAATTCAAATAAGTTCTTATTTAATTTCAATTGGATTCCTATCTAAATTAGTACGGTGACTGTATTACCGATGAAAAGGTATATGCCCATGCTAGTTTGCTCTTTCTCTGTATTCTACGCTCTCTGAGTTTCGGTCAGTGCTGTCATCGAATATTCCCCTGGTCCGAGTTAAGTTTGGGAATAAACTCTCGGACTTAGGGCCGGTTGTTCAATGTCTGATTAGTACAAATCGGAGGTAGAAGCTCCGGTTAAGCACAACTACTGCTTTATCGATCACATGTTACATGCATGATGTCGAAATCGTAGATAGTGTAGTGGTAGTGATAACCAGACATTGAACAACCGGCCCTTAATCCGGATCAACTGCAGTTAATTTCCGAGATAATTCCGAATTAACGAGTAGATCCGGATCAACGCTGCCGTCTGTTTAGGCTGTAATAGAAATGCTTAAGGTGTTCTTACACGATATGTATTTGCATGTTTACAAGCCACTTTTTACGAAGGCAATTTAGATTTGTTTCTGTACAAAGCAGATGCACGTACATACGAAATAGAAATGTTTCTATTTTCATCTGACACACAGATAGAATCATCTGAGTTTAGTTTATTCCGTTTTCAAAGAATGTATTTTTAAATAGTTAAATAAAGACTGTGAATTTGACAGACATACGCAATTACATATGTATTGGAAAAGTCGCATTTACAGATACAAATACATATCGTGTAAGAACACCTTTGGGAATTAAACAAAAATAAAACTCGTTTAGCTTGTGACGGGTGGGACGAGTCACTATTGAGTTCGTGAGTAAAGTGAACTCATATATTACTACGTTTATACGCACGTATTA